GTGCGACCGCTCCGCTGACGCGTGTTGTTCAGCGCGTGGGATCCAAACGCTGCGCTCAGCGAGGCGTGAGCACTTTCTTCAGTTGTTTCTATGACAGAACACCTTTCTCCCGGGAGAACACAGAGCGGAGATGCGCGTTTGCCTGCGCGTCTGCAGGGCACTGGGGAAAGTCCCCGCTTCGCCTCAGAGCCGCTAATTTGGTTCAGAGCCGCGCAAGCCGGAGGTGCGATGCCCCGCCGTGCGTCCGCATTCCGTACTAAGCCCTAGGACCCAAGAGGGGATGCTCCCAGCTCCGTGCTGACCCGCTGCCGCCTCCTGCGCCCATAACTCCGCTCCTGGAAGGGTCAGAAATCGCCCTGCAGCCTCAGCTCACCTCCCCCCACCTCACACTTAGCGTAAAGAGCTTTCTCGCTGATGTTTTTCCCCTTTTTCCCCTCTCCCTTTTTTTTTTTTTTTTTTTTTTGAATTGAGATTTACTCCCAGGCGTATACACTCCCTTTCTTTCATTTTAACTTTTCTTTTTTTATATATATTTAATTGACAGGCAAAAAATCCATCTAAAGGAAACACTCAGAAGTGTTGTAAGAAGGATGTGATCTTGTATTATAAAAAGGATGTGGTCTTTGCCCTATAACAGGTCAGTGAGGTTCTGACACAAGTTGCCCAGTGAGGAGGTGGATGCCCCATCCCTGGAGACACTCAAGGTCAGGTTGGCTGGGGCTCTGAGCACCTGATGGAAGTGTTGGTCTCCTGTTCAATGCAAGGGGTTGGACCAGATGGCCTTTAAGGATCCCTTCCAACTCAAACTGTTCTGTGCTAATATAATTCTGCAACACGTATTTAAATCCGTCCTCTGTGAGAGGAGTCCACCAGAGGTGTACACAACACTCAGTGTTGTCTTAGCAAGGTCTCACTGATATTTCTGCATTTCTATAAAACCTGTTTCACCTCTTATGCCCTCAGATCCATCACTTCAGCACCTTCTCATTCCCATGTGCCACATCTCATTGCCAAAGTGAGTGTCAGAGCCCTACTTCTTTCATACTGCACCTTTAGACTTGTGTGGCTGCATGGTAGGGAGCCACAAATGGCAGTGGTGTGCATGCCAATACATACTGCTGCCTCTAACAGTGAGATAGTTGTATGTTAAAGGAGATTCATTGATCCTTTTTGCCTTTCCTCCTTCTTCTGGTCATAGAATCACATTTTTTCTTGGCATTTTTATCTCTACTCAACTCTTTCCTCACATTCACAGGAATGGATCACATTCATAGAGTATTCAAAGGCTCCTCTTTTATCAATAAAGAATTATTGGCTGGGAGAACTGGCTTGGAATATAGAAAATTTCACATGGCGCAGAGAAAAATGTCTTTTTTTCTTTATTTACTTCCCCACCCTCACCCCCAAGGCCACAACAGCTGGCTTTTAGAGTTACCTGTATTTGTATCCTTTTTCTCAGGTTTGGAAATGCCTGCTTAGCAAGTAACTTCTCAGCTGTATAGCTCAGTAATAACCGGTTATTACTGGATCATGTAGCATTGGCTCCAGTGCGAGAGAGGATGTTTCTGTGGGCCACAAGTGGAACCAGCAAGTCTTTTAGATCCTATGATTTCTAGTCTAAGATTTAAAGTAATTAGGTTTCAGAAGTACACGGGCTGAAGTTTGGTTACTGGATAAAATGCATCAATTTTATCCATTTTAGAAGAAACGATAACTCTTAACAGCCTAAATTGCTGTTTATTTGAGACTTCATTGCAGTGGATCTTTGTCAGGCTGTGCTAGTTAAAAAATCAAGCTTCTCAGAAAACGTCATCAAGCTCAATACTGGAAAAAGTTCTGAAAATTACAGAAGAATTTAATTAAGAATTGGAGATCACTGTATCCATTTGTGTGTTTGCTTGTTTGTGGATGATCTCAGAGCAGGTGCCAATTCCTTGGTGACCATGGGTACCATGGCTGGGACTTCTGCTGTAGATAATTCCTGGTGCAGAGCTCATTTCCAAGCAGGTCACAGTAAGTGTCCACGCACAGAAACTTCAGCAGAGCACAGCGGGCAGACTGGAGGTGGTATCTATGAACGGGCTGCCCAGGGAAGTGGTGGAGTCTCTGTCCACAAAGGTGCTCAGGAAATGTGTGGATGTGGCACTGAGGCGCATGGTGAGTGGGCATGATCTTAGTGATCTTTCCAACCTTAATGATTCTATGATGGTTGAATTACTTTAGCACTGTACAGACTTATTGTTTATAGCAACAAATTGTTACTGGTTTTCTTTGTAGCCTTAATTATTACTCAGACACTCCTGATTATTAATAAAGTTTTACACAAAACCAAGGGCTTACTCATGGGCTTGTCTGAAGAATGCTCTAACCATTATATGTGCTATTCTTTAAGGGGCTGAAATATTTGTAGAAACTGGTCTGAGAAAGGATACAAACTTTGACAGAATGTACACACACAGCATTTGGAAAGTTGTACAGTCAATTTTTGCATGACTTTATTTACATACAAATATGCATGTGGAAAAGAGGCACAACATTTTTGGTTTGACAAAAGGAATTTGAGCCCACTCAGGGTCAATGGCACCCTGCTTTTTAGCTGTCCCTCTTCCAAAGCAGAATAATTTTTAAAATTTTGACAGATGATTGATTTACTTTTTTCATCTCCAGCCTCAGAACTGCCTTCTGCTTTCCCCTTTCTCATGGGGGCTCAGCCACAGCATCTGCTCTGCTCTCCCTTCCAAGCTGAAATAGGACCAGGCAGATCAGGGAGGGCCCGCTCTGAGTCAGCCATCCCCTTGGGTAACCCTGAGCACACAGCACTGGTGGCACTTCCTGCTGCAGAGCTGCAACCACAGAAAGCACTCTGCCTCCATCCCTTAAAGCTGGGGAGAACCCGTCAGCAATGAAAAATGCATTCGGGAAATGTGATTAAAATCACTGCTCATGTTTCTCTTGCTGTTACTTCTCTAGCTGCTTGGTTCATTGTCATTTCTTTGTTTGTTTGTGTTCTGGGATGCAGAACAATTGTCCTCTGCGTATGGCAGCATTCTTCTGCAAGGCCTGTTCCCTCCAGGGCATTGGAAGAAGGCAGGCTGCTTGCACTTAGCAGAGTGTGAGATCCCTATGCTTCCAGTCGTGTTCATCCACCCCTTTATTCAGAATGCTGAAGTCACCAGCTGAGATGCAGGGTATCACACACTACCTCTATCCCTGGAGCGTGTAAGAGACTTATTATGGGTCAGTCTGTCAGTCTGAAATGAAATTCTTTGACATTCTATTTTTTTCCCCCCCAGTGATGATAACCATCATTGAGAAATCAGAATTAGGGAAAAGCCTGGTACAGACTGCCCAGAGGCTGTAGAGTCTCCTCCTTGGAGGTCCCCGAAAGCCACCAGGACACAGTCACCCTGCTCCAGGTGTCCTTGCTGGAGAAGGGGCCAGACCTGGTGGTCTCAGAGGAGTCTCTGCCAGTCTCTGGGATTCTGGGAAATATTCACGTAAAATTAATGTAAAAGTGCCTTTCTCACCAACAAAGAGTAAATTACTTTTTTTTCTATTTAGATGCCCAAATTTATCTAAATACAGTTACAGACACTTCAACACGCCATGTTTTTCATTTTAATTGCCATTTTAAGATGGAAAAGAAGAGGCAAAATAAAAATGTCAGTGTTTTTTAGTTTTCTACATTCTTCCCTCCACTAATCTTTTTCCAACCAGTATTTATGAGCTTGCAGATACCTTCAGATACCCAAAACTTCATTAAACATGTTAAGTAGGCTATTATGCTTGAAAAGCTTTGCATTGCCTTCGTGCTGGCCTGGTATGAACCTGCAGTGCACGGCCGCTCTAGATTTATGCCTGCAGACTTCCTGGTAGGCAGGCTTGCTGTTGGCTCCTGACCATCTCTCTGAAGTGGAAGCGATGCTCACAAGTCAGGTGAAGGTATTAAGGTGCCTACAGTGGGCTCAGCTCTTACTGTGACACAGACCATTCTCTTTTGCCAGAAGGGGGAAGCACCTTGCAGGTGCTCTGTTAATGTGAGTGATCCAATGACTCGTTTTACTGCTCCTTGGTGGAGGTAGGTGGTGGTGTATATCTTCCCAAACAAGCAGCTGTAAAACCTTCATGAGATCCCCAATTGCCATGTATTATTTTCATGCTATATGTTTTGAGTTTGGTGTTTCGTCACGTTTTCTTCCTTGCGGTCTGCCTGCAGCCCCTCGTTTTCTCTCCATTGAGATACATTAAACCTGGGCAAAGTTATAACTAGTACCAAAGCACCCTAATAATCTAGTTGAGTACTAAGCCTGTGGAAATGATTCCCTGAGGTTTCTGCCACTGCCTGGAGCTGCTTTTATTTTTGTCTCTCCAGCTGTGTTATCAAATCTCCCTTGTTGCTCCCTCTAGGTTAATATGGTGGTGATGAAAGCAGCTTCGGTAGCAAGGAATGGGCCCACCACTGCTTATAGCAGCACAGTGTATAGCACAGAGAGAGAGGCTTTAGGAGACCCTTGGTTTAGAGGGATGCTTTTCTGATGATCCAAGGGCTGGTTTAATGTAAAGTCTCCTGCAGTCTTCTCAGTTCCGGAGTCATAGAATCATAGAACTGTTTGAGTTGGAAGGGACCCTTAAAGGTCATCTAGCTCAACTCCCCTGCAATGAATACAAACACCTACAGCGAGATCAGATGTTCAGAGCCCAGTCCAGCCTGGCCTTAAGCACCTCCAGGCACGGGGCTTCCATATCACAGGGCAATTATTCTAGTACTTCTCTACGCTTACTGTAAAAAACTTTTTTTCCTCCCCTTTTGTTTATATCCAACCTAAATCTCCCCTCTTTTAGTTTGAAACCATTCCCCCTTGTTCTGTCACCACAGACCCTACTAAGATCTGTCTTCTTCTTTCCTGTAGCTCCCCTTTAGATACAGAAAGGCTGCTCCCAGGTCTCCCTGGAGTCTTCTCCAGGCTGAACAGCCCCAGCTCTCCCAGCCTGTCCTCGTAAGATAGTTGTTCTATCCTTGGGATCATTTCTGTGGCCCTCTGGAGGTGCTCCAACAGGTCCATGTCACTCCTGTACCGAAGACTCCACATCTGGATGCAGTGGCCCAGGTGAGGTCTCACCATCAACGAGTAGAGGGGCAGGATCACCTCTCTTGACTTGCTGACCGCGGGCCTCTTAAACTCTATCAAAAACCCTCACTGTGTGCCAGAAATGTGTCAGAACTGAGTCAAAGAGGAAGAATATTATCCACAGAGAGTCATTAAGGAGGAAAAGTCATCCCCACTGCTGGCCAGCTTTTCTGCTGTGCTGACAAGCCCTGAGTAGAGAGCACAGTAGTGGCTCTGAGTGTGTTGTGTGCTTGTATTCATATGCTACTGCTTTGCATGCAGTGACTTTTTTTTGGCTTTTGTCAGCCGACAGGCAGGCATTCCCTCCTCCAATTGTTCTGTCATAGTGGGAGGTTTTCTATCTTATCCTCATTAAAGGTACTCCTCATGAAAACTGGATGCCACTGGACGCATGTAGGACCAATCTGGATTTAATGCAATTTTGTCTGTATACTTTTGCATCTGTTTTCCAGGATGACAGCTGTGTTTGTGAAAAACTGAGGAAGTGACAAGAGAAAAAAGAAAAAATGCTCTCCAAAGTTCATATTGAAATTGTGGGCAATGTCAGTGTCGTTTGAGTAGGGAGGTCAGACAGGCACCTTACCTCCTAACAGAGCAAATGCATCATTTTTAAGAAAATATCAGTGCTGATTTGCTGGGATTATGGTTTCCTGCGCATTGCATGATTTCCCACACACCCCTGCTCCAAATATATGGTTATTATGGGCTGTATGCAACCTTTGTGCTGCATTGATTCATTTCAGAAGGCCACTTACTGTAAATGCTCAATAAAGATGAAGGAAGACCGTTTGACATTCAGGCAAAGTCTTCAATTTCCACCACAGGAGGAGGGCACCCCCCAGCACGTGGCCCTGGAAAAAACACATTTTTTGCTGCCTCTGATCTTAGAGATGGGAAAGAGATGGGAGGAGTGAGATATCACAGGTGCTTATCACAGTTACATGGTAAGAGTTGTGTTAAAACAGGAAAAGACTGCATAAGCAAGTCTTGAAAGGCCACAACAGCATCTGTGTAAGAGATAACTCACCCAATTTATCCAGCTAAACAGTTCTGTCAGGTTTACCAAGGGCTGCAAAACTGGCAAACTGCCTCATCTCCTGTGCAGCAGCAGTGTGGGCTTAACCCTTCTACTTGCCTGTTGGAAGCACTGAATTTGCAAACCTCATGGCAGGAGACAGAACCTTGTGCAAACTGTTGGCATTAATGACAATTTCCAGTAGAGCAAAAGTGAGTTGGACAGGATTCCCGTTGCCAGCTGCAGACATGACTGCCTTAGGCATGCCTGGGGCTGCACAGCTGAAAGGGGATGCACTGAGAGATGTGGTCTAGCAGGAGATGAGCGCCTATCCCAGCCTCTGGACAAGCCCCCACCTCAGCTTCCATCAGAAGGGAGAATCTGCTGAGGGCTGTGTTCTTCATAGTTTTCATTGCATTTTCATGTTTTAGCAATAGCAACCACACCTGTTGTTGGAGCCCCTGCCTGGCTCTAAGGGTGTTGGTCTCTCCAGCAACTCGCTTCTTTTGCATAGCATTATCTCGCTGATGTGCATGTATTTGTGACAGGTAATTGATTCCTTAAAAGCCGCTTCTTGCTGAAATTTCCCTCAAGATGTGGCATACTGAGAAAAAAAGAAACAAAATCACACTGTTGTATGCACAGGCATTGTGCTGAGCTTGTGATTTGGGAAGCCCCAGGGAGTGACCATGCACCTTGCTCACTCTGCTTCAGTAGAAAATATCCTAGGAGGCACCTGGTGTCAGCTGTGCATGTCTGGAGAAGGGCAATGAAACAGTGAAGGGTCTGAAGAAACGTATGCGCAGCTGAGGGAAATGGGATTGTTCAGTCTGGAGAAGAGGAATCTTAGGAAGACCTTAATCATTGTCTGCAACTCCATGAAAGGAGGTTATGGTAAGGTGGGAGGCTGGCCTTTTCTCCTGGGAAGCAGGAGATAAAATGACAGAGATTATGAGAGACATGTGATAGGATGCAACAGGATGAGAGGGAATGGTCTCAAGTTGCACCAGGGAGGATCAGGTTAGATATTAGGGTAAGTTCTTCTCAGAAAGAGTGGTCAGAAAAGGCTGCCCAGCAAGGTGGTGGAGTCACTGTCCCTGGAGGTATTCAAGAAACGTGTGGATGCAGTTCTTAGGAACATGGTCAGTGAGCATTGTAGGACTGGATGACCTTAGTGGTCTTTTCCAACCTTAATTCTTCTATGATTCTCTGATTCTAGTCAACTTATCTATTTGGATGAAATACCCTGATAAGGCCATGTTCATGAATGGAGATAAGAATCTTCTGCATTGAGAAGGAATTCAGCAGTTTGTTCCTACACATGTGGGCTCAACAACAGGCAGGTATGTAATCTGTGATGTTGTCTGAATTACAATTAATCCCTCTTCAAAATGATATCAGGAAAAAAAATCTGTAATGCCAGTAAGCGTGTTAGGAAGCAAAACAATGGAAGAAGTTGGCAGGATTAGGCTCACATAGGAGATTACGGTGGCAAAAGGGAAATGACTGTAAAATGCTGACATGGGAGATAAAGTACAAGTGAGAATGGCATTCACCCAAGGTCATGTTTTTAGAAGGAAATAGATGAACTGGATATGTGGCATTTGTTCAAGAGAACCTTTAAATAATGTGATGCTGGATGCCCTCTTAGTAAGGCAGTACAGAAGAAGCAATAGTTAAATCAGACATGTGCATATGACAAATGACAAATGGGTTTTGTCATGCTCCAGAAGCAACCTAAGAATGGGAGAATTTAAATATCTGCTAAAGAAAAGTGAAGTCTGATATATTTTTAAAAACAGAAGCTTCCTTTAACAGCATGCTCATGAAAATCCAGAGTGCTACCGCCAGCACCAAATTACTCCCATTGCAGGAAAGGGCTGCGTTGGAGTAAGCACATGTATTTTTAGGTATTGATGGTTAGCAGGGGATAGACATATCCTATGAGAAGAATGAGTAGAGATATCTCAGGTTTATGATACGATCCTGGGTTTGGAAACTGTGGTGTGCCTTCCAGCTATGCTGTGTAGGTCCTTAATCAGTTTCAGTGCCTTGTTACAAGATGCAGACTTCAGTATTGCTCTAGCCCCTTGCAGTGTGACAATCAAGCATCAAGGTGTACCCTTGAACATGGTGAGACAACATACTGTTGTGCATAAAGTTTTTTAAAAAGGCAACATAATGACAACACATGGAATGAGACTTCATTTTGCTTGTGGATGAAACCTTGTGTGTTCCTACTCCTTGACAAATAGCTGTGGAAAAGAAGTACAATAGTAATTAATAGTTACTAATAAATACAATTATTACTAATAATTATTGTTGATATATGCTTTTTGTTAGAAGTATTGAAAAGGAAGCCTTTATTTATTAAGCCTTTATTATTAAATAATGCTTTCCAGATAGCTTGAGTTTTATTTTTATTTTCTTCATTTTAAAAGGATTTTTGTCAGAAGTGTGCTGGGTTGTTATGACCATAGATAACTCAGATGGGAGGCTGCTAGTAGGAAGATGTGCTGGTTAACCAAGGCACAGCAGCTCCTCTAAGTGAGCTGATGTAAGGAAAGAAAAATGTGCTATAAACCATGTGTGCCTTTAGGAATAAAGTAGAAATTGCAGAGTGCACTGGTAATGTGAGCTCAGATGCTTTTCTTCCTTGCTTCTAATAAAGCAAAATTATGCTCTGTCCTTGACTCAACTTTCAGAATTTGTCCCTACAACTGAAATGCTACCACTGCTTTGCCCCTGCCCATCGACCTCCTTAAGTGTACTGGTGCAGTTAGGCATGACACAGCAGGAGCAAGCTGGGCACTTCTGTGGGTTCATCAGTGACAGCAGGCAACTTGGCCATTGGCTGCTCCAAACTTTGATGGAAAACTGCTTTTATGGTTGATGAGAAACGAAAAATGTGGAGCCTCTTTGGAATGGAGATCAGATGCAGAGTGTTCATTCGCTCCTGCCCCATACATCTGCAGACAACAAGAACTGTGGAAGCACCAATTGGGAAAATATTATTGTGGTTGATACGTTTCAATATAAACAGGAAAGATGTTCTAGCATCTCAGAGTCTGGGATCTTCAGTAGAAAATAGGCTGATGGAAACTGAATTTTTTGCCAAATGCACATAAAAAGTTCAGAAACTAAGTCTAACTAAATTCACAGGAAGAAAAGCCCAGATCTTCTGGGAGGATCTTCAAAATTGTACGTTAGCCCTTTGCATAACTCAATGTCCTAAAGCTTTATCCAGTTACTGGGGACATCTAATGTGAAAGCTGATGTGCTTAACCACTTGGCTTGGATAGGAGTTGAACAAATGAAGAAGACAAAACCAGAATTACATTTACTGTCCTCAAAAAAATATCTGACATGACCTGGAGAGAGAATATTTCTTTCTAACAAAGGATTATAGGCACTGTGGAGTGGAGAAGAGAAAGCTAAGGAAATCAAATTACTATGATCTCAGTCAACCGAAAATAGTAGGTGGTTTCTGCAGATTGTATTTTGAGGAAACATTTCTGATTTCATTTAGGCTACCAACAGGAGAGGGACCAGTTTTGTTTAATACAGTTCAGCTACTCCAGCTAGTCCAAATTCAGTATTTTTCGTCCCCATCATTACTTACACAAATAAAATTAACACTTTCGCTCTTTGTTTTGTTTCTGCAGATATTCTATCAAATAAGGACAATTCCATAAGGACAATAGAAATGTTTGAATATATTTGTAAAAAATAAATATTTCATCAGTTCAGGTCTGACAAGAGTCCTACAGGATACTGATTGGTTGCATGCTGCATGATTGCATCAAGCATTGCTAAAGTGGGAAGAAGAAAAAAACTAAACTATCCTTAGTTTCCTAAATACATACACACCTGATTGATTAAATGAATGAGTTCTATATCAAATTCATATCTCACAGTTATAATTTTGCAATTAGAAAGTTGTCCTGAGCCCTGTCTGCTTAATGAAACCTATCATGCATTTGAATTCTGTCTATCAAACACTGGCAAGAAGCTGCCAGATGATGAATCTACCGGCTGAGAGAGTGCATTCGACAGACAATCTGGGGAGCAACAAACATTCCAGAAAGAAGCATAGACTGATTGTGGAACAGAAAAAAGAAATCTCATTCACAATGGCTGCTATGAATTATTCACTGATGAATAATAATAATAATAAAAACCCACCTCAAAATTACTGGTGTAGATATGCTATCCCTGCCTTGTTAACAGCTTGTGGCTGTTAAGGAGCACTGCAGCTTTGTCAAGGGGCTAAACCTGCCTACTGGAAGAAAATGAGTCTGTTAAGCCTAATATAGCAACTGGTTTAGTTACAGTGGTGCCAAACACCCAGGGAAATTATCTTAATCTAAAATAAGCAGAATTCAGGCTAAAATATGTGTGTTTTTATGCAGTTCTCCAGACTGTTTTAAATAAGACATTTGAAAACCACATTTTTATTTAAAATAGTGCTATTTTTTCCTTGCTCAATCTTTCCATTTTTTTCACTGAAACTTGTGACAAATTTGGAATAGCAGCAAATACACGTAATTTGAGACTGGGATGTCTTTGTTACTACTCTTGCATTCAGCAGCAAAACTGTAATACTCAGCTGTGAAAAGATAAAGCCATGTACTTGTCAGTTTTTTAGACAATGAGTGAGCCACACTTATACAACACGTTGCATGTTTCAATTTCTGCATTGAGAATGTTCATATTCTGGACTAGTCCGGAGCAAGAGACAGTGGTCAGTGAAATGACTTGAAGGAAACCAAGAGGAGAGTCCAACAACCTGCTCTTGTGACCAGCAAGTTGAAGACAGTGAAGAGCCACAACAGGCAAAAAGTGTGGTCAATCTGCTCTTTCCAAATCAATTAGCAAAGCTTATTAAGGTCGTGGTGACTTAGGAAGCTTTTTGACAGTATCTGCTGAGAGCTTTTTAGGCTTTGATTTAGTTTGTTAGCTCATGTTTGAAGGTAGCATGGATGCAGATGAATCATGTGTTGGTGTGATATTAGACCTAAAAGAGCTTGTTCATCTGAAGCCAACAGGCATTCAGTGGAAATAGGTCCCCCTGTGACTGTTCCAGCAAGAAGTCATCAGCTGTGGGAGGAATAAGCTTGTGTGTGTAATAATGAGTTAATCACACCCAGCACATCACACTGTTGCAGCAGAAGGCCTTGTGATTGAACCAAGTAGCTAGCAGAAACAGCAGGGACTTGTAAAAATGGTAAACCTAGCAGGGGAAATCCA